ATTAATTGTTTTTCGACTACCTAACCTACCTAACCTAACCTAACCTAACTTTTTTGGCTACCTAACCTAACCTAACCTATAAAGCTAGGTTAGGTTAGGTTAGGTAGGGTTGGTTAGGTTCGGTCATATATCTACATTAATTTGAACTCCAATAAAAAAAAAATAACCTCATACATAATGAAATGGGTAGCTTTATCATTTCATAAGAAAAAAATTAGAGAAAATATATAATTCAGGAAAACGTGGCTTATTAGGCAAATCTGGCCTTGCATAGTAGGCCAAGAAGTGCGTTCTGGCTACTAGGTACGACATATATATATATATATAAACTTTTTCGCCCATTTAAAGAACAATAAGGCATTACAGAAAAAATACATGCTGGCAGATTTGGATCTTTTTATTGGAGGATCTTTTTGATGATCCGATGATGCTAGCCAAGGCTATTTGCCCATCATCCCGACGTATTTTATCATAGCCTCGGCTACCATCATCTTTTGTACGGTCGTGATGGTCGAGTGGTGAAGGTCTCCTGTACACCAGTTGCATAGTGCTCCTGGCAGCATGGGTTCGAGTCGCTTCTGGGGTGTGGAGTTTTCAGTTGCACATATGCTTGGGGACCATGCAGGCTTGTTCGCACACATATATATATATATATATATATATATATATATATATATATATATATATATATATATATATGTCGTACCTAGTAGCCAGAACGCACTTCTCAGCCTACTATGCAAGGCCCAATTTGCCTAATAACCCAAGTTTTCCTGAATTAATATATTTTGTCTAATTTTTTTCTTATGAAATGATAAAGCTACCCATTTCATTATGTATGACGTCAATTTTTTTTTATTGGAGTTAAAATTAACGTAGATATATGACCGAACCTAACCAACCCTACCTAACCTAACCTAACCTATCTTTATAGGTTAGGTTAGGTTATGTAGCCGAAAAAGTTAGGTTAGGTTAGGTTAGGTAGTCGGAAAAACATTAATTCATGAAAACTTGGCTTATTAGGCAAATCGGGTCTTGCATAGTAGGCTGAAAAGTGCGTTCTGGCTACTAGGTACGACATATATCTATATAACTCCAATATATATATATATATATATAGAAAAAATATATATATAGGTATATATATATATATATATATATATATATATATATATATATATATATATATATATATATGCGAACAAGCCTGAATGGTCCCCAGGACAATATGCAACTGAAAACTCACACCCCAGAAGTGACTCGAACCCATACTCCCAGGAGCAACGCTACTGGTATGTACAAGACGCCTTAATCAACTTGACCATCACGACCGGACATAATGAGGTGATAGCCGAGGCTATTTGAACCACCCCACCGCCGGCACTCGGATAGTAATTATATATATATATATATATATATATATATATATATATATATATATATATATATATATATATGCGAACAAGCCTGAATGGTCCCCAGGACTATATGGGGTGTGAGTTTTCAGCCATATATATATATATATATATATATATATATATATATATATATATATATATATATATATATATATATATATTGTCCTTAGCCTGGCCAGAGCACTCCTGGCACTCTTCCTAGCCTGGCCAGAGCCCCCCTGGCACTCTTCCTAGCCTAGCCAGAGCACACAATTACACATTAACAATAGAACCCGCCCCAAAGACTGACCCTTGCGAGATGTAAGTTGTTAAATATATAATAGAAAACAAAAGATTAGATATAAATTGAGTAAGTTCAGATTTAGTAAAGACCTGGGTAAATACTGTTTCAGTAACGTGATTGTTGATTTGTGGAACAGATTACCGAGTAACGTAATAGACGTTGGATCGATTGATTGTTTCAAGCGCAGGTTAGACATATATATAAGAATGAGTTTGGGTGATATAAATTGGACTCGTATGGGACAATAGGCCTTCTTTAGTTTTCTTAATTTCTATGTTGTTATGTATTGTATGAAGTATATAAAACTCAATAGGCGAAGGACTAAGGTGTGTAGGAGCCATTAAGAGGATTCGAACCCACACATATGACACTCCCAAGCTAAAGTTCTAGACCATTACGTGAACAAATCCACAAGGGCCGTGACGAGGATTCGAACCTGCGTCCGGGAGCATCCCAGACACTGCCTTAATCGACTGAGCTACGACAGGGTTAAAAAAAGGGTTGAAACCGAAGTTCTACTGAACTTACTGGATCCCGTAGCCTCTCCGAGGCAGAAACCAGGTTTTTACACAACTCCCCCCTGCACCCGAGCTATGTCAATAGGCCGTTCTCCCTCTTCGCCCTTACATCATTACACTTGTTCATTTGATGCATCACGTTAGTGTGATCTCTGTGTGTAGACCATTACGTGTTGTGCATTCCACGAAGGACCCTTCCCCCCCCCAAGGGGTGAGTGAAATAGCTCAATGTAACGTAATAATGACCGTCAATGGAGATAAAGTAATGTTAACGTACTCACCCTGGCGACTGCGGACAGGTGATGAACCCCGAGGCAGAGCCGCCCTTCTTATGCTGGACAACGAACCGCTGGTCGAGGCTGCTGTAGGTCTGCTGTTGTCGGTCGCCATGATGCTGCTTCTTCCCCTTTTGATTTTCTTCTGTCGGGAACTGCAATGGTTTCTGCGGGGAGGGAGAGTCCTTGTGGTAGTCTCTAGGGATGGAGTGACGACCCTGGCGAGCCTGGACCTGGTGGGGAGGCACGGGAGGAGGGTCGTCCAGGAGGTAGCCGGCCTGGTGTGTTGGGGAGCAGGCGAGGTCGTCGTGGTGGTGGTTGTGGTAGTCGCCGGGGAGGACGGGCACGTTGTCGTACTCGGATAACTTGGAGGATATAGTGGAGTCCTTGTTGATCCCCAACATGACGACCGCTGCTTCGCCACCGACCACCCCAGTGCACCACCACAACTCTCTGAACAAAGGATTACATTCACTACACACAGAAGTCACAATAGCGTGATGCATCAGTGAACAAATCCACAAGGGCCGTGACGAGGATTCGAACCTACGTCCGTGATCTTCCCAGACGCTGCCTTATAGACTGAGCTACGACATCGTAAAAAAAAAAAAAGAGTTGAAACCAGATGTTCTACTGGACTTACTGGACTTAGGTTCGAATCCTCGTCACGGCCCTTGTGGATTTGTTCATTACATTCACTTTCTCCACGAACTTCCAATTTAAAAAAAACAAAATAACGCAAAAATTAACTAAACATAATCATAAAATTAATTTAATTAATTTTGTCTCAATTAATCTCAATTATTGTCGTCATATAAATGAGAAGAATAATGTAAGATGCCACCATTCATGGGCCATAATACCATCTCAAATTTATGCCATGTATGATATCCAGGTGTATACAAGGGACACCAACATACAGCTGACTCCTCACGCTACACACACACACACACACACACACACACACACACACACACACACACACACACACACACACACACACACACACACACACACACACACACCGTTATACACTAATGATTGCTTGTTATACACGAGTGCTCTCTTATTGTGCACACGAAGAGCACCAGGCAAGCCACGCACCAATGGTGGGGTATAGGTCTTACTTCTCTATTCCCTTGTAGCGCTGTGGTTCTCACCGCAGCACCAGGTCACCGCAGCACCAGGTCACCGCAGCACCAGGTCACCGCAGCACCAGGTCACCGCAGCACCAGGTCACTGCAGCACCAGGTCACCGCAGCACCAGGCTACCGCAGCACCAGGTCACCGCAGCACCAGGCTACCGCAGCACCAGGTCACCGCAGCACCAGGTCACCGCAGCACCAGGTCACCGCAGCACCAGGCTACCGCAGCACCAGGTCACCGCAGCACCAGGTCACCGCAGCACCAGGTCACCGCAGCACCAGGTCACCGCAGCACCAGGCTACCGCAGCACCAGGTCACCGCAGCACCAGGTCACCGCAGCACCAGGTCACCGCAGCACCAGGTCACCGCAGCACCAGGTCACCGCAGCACCAGGTCACCGCAGCACCAGGTCACCGCAGCACCAGGTCACCGCAGCACCAGGTCACCGCAGCACCAGGTCACCGCAGCACCAGGTCACCGCAGCACCAGGTCACCGCAGCACCAGGTCACCGCAGCACCAGGTCACCGCAGCACCAGGTCACCGCAGCACCAGGTCACCGCAGCACCAGGCTACCGCAGCACCAGGTCACCGCAGCACCAGGTCACCGCAGCACCAGGCTACCGCAGCACCAGGTCACCGCAGCACCAGGTCACCGCAGCACCAGGTCACCGCAGCACCAGGTCACCGCAGCACCAGGTCACCGCAGCACCAGGTCACCGCAGCACCAGGTCAGCAGCACCAGGTCACCGCAGCACCAGGTCACCGCAGCACCAGGTCACCGCAGCACCAGGTCACCGCAGCACCAGGTCACCGCAGCACCAGGTCACCGCAGCACCAGGTCACCGCAGCACCAGGCTACCGCAGCACCAGGTCACCGCAGCACCAGGTCACCGCAGCACCAGGTCACCGCAGCACCAGGTCACCGCAGCACCAGGTCACCGCAGCACCAGGTCACCACAGCACCAGGTCACCGCAGCACCAGGTCACCGCAGCACCAGGTCACCGCAGCACCAGGTCACCGCAGCACCAGGTCACCGCAGCACCAGGTCACCGCAGCACCAGGTCACCACAGCACCAGGTCACCGCAGCACCAGGTCACTGCAGCACCAGGCTACCGCAGCACCAGGTCACCGCAGCACCAGGTCACCGCAGCACCAGGTCACCGCAGCACCAGGTCACCGCAGCACCAGGTCACCACAGCACCAGGTCACCGCAGCAGCAGGTCACCGCAGCACCAGGTCACCGCAGCACCAGGTCACCGCAGCACCAGGCTACCGCAGCACCAGGTCACCGCAGCACCAGGCTACCGCAGCACCAGGTCACCGCAGCACCAGGTCACCGCAGCACCAGGTCACCACAGCACCAGGTCACCGCAGCAGCAGGTCACCGCAGCACCAGGTCACCGCAGCACCAGGTCACCGCAGCACCAGGCTACCGCAGCACCAGGTCACCGCAGCACCAGGCTACCGCAGCACCAGGTCACCGCAGCACCAGGTCACCGCAGCACCAGGTCACCACAGCACCAGGTCACCGCAGCAGCAGGTCACCGCAGCACCAGGTCACCGCAGCACCAGGTCACCGCAGCACCAGGTCACCGCAGCAGCAGGTCACCGCAGCACCAGGTCACCGCAGCACCAGGCTACCGCAGCACCAGGTCACCGCAGCAGCAGGTCACCGCAGCACCAGGTCACCGCAGCAGCAGGTCACCGCAGCACCAGGTCACCGCAGCAGCAGGTCACCGCAGCACCAGGTCACCGCAGCACCAGGTCACCGCAGCACCAGTTCACCGCAGCACCAGGTCACCGCAGCACCAGGTCACCAGGCATGTATCCTGCAACATGCCACATAGTCACGGCAAAACATATATAGGAAATATGCACAAAAGTTTAATTGAACACAGCGGTGTTGGAAGCACATAGCGGGCTCCCAACACTCACAAAACCCAAATTCAGACGATGTTCCGACAACCACGCTAGACCATACGTTCAAAAAGTTTGCAGACGTCTTTCGAAGGATGTGGGGCAAAAATCTTGAAGAAGGGAATGATCAGAGAAAAGCGCCATTACGACTACATAGCACTTGGAAGGGATCAGAATAAGGATTTGGGATGGGACGGGGGGAAGGAATGGTGCCCAGCCACTTGGACGGTCGGGGATTGAACGCCGACCTGCATGCAGCGAAACCAAGCAAAAAGACCTTGGATACCTGGTTTTCTAATGGGAAGACCAACTGCCTCGAGCCAGTCTTCTGGGAACAATATCGTCTCCCAAATACGATTATAGATGTGCAGCAAATACTGCAAGGTGCACAGTCACAGAGAGAGATCATTATAGGAGAGTTGAAGGTGAGTACCCACAGGCCAGGGTGTAGGCAGGTTATTTGTAAAAACCTGGTTTGGCACCGGTTGGGGCTTCTTCTTGAGGCTATCTTGAGATGATTTCGGGGCTTAGCGTCCCCGCGGCCTGGTCCTTGACCAGGCTTCCTTTTTGTTACACATCCCCAGGAAGTAGCCCGTAGCAGCTGTCTAACTCTCAGGTACCTATTTCCTGCTAGGTAACAGGGGCATCAGGGTGAAAGAAACTGCTAATTTGTTTCCGCCTCAACCGGGGATCGAACCCGGAACCTCAGGACTACGAATCCTAAGCGCTGTCTACTCATCTCTCAGGCCCCTGTAACTTTTGGCCTACCGCGCCTGACAGCTGGGTGGACAGCGCTTCGGATTCGTAGTCCTGAGGTTCTGGGTTCGATCCCCGGTGGAGGCGGAGACAAATAGGCAAAATGCTTCTTTCACCCTGATGCTCCTGTTACCTAGCAGTAAATAGGTACCTGGGAGTAGACAGCTGCTACGGGCTGCTTCCTAAGGGGTGGAGGCCTGGTCGAGGACCGGGCCGCGGGGACACTAAGCCCTGAAATCATCTCAAGATAACCGTGGCCAAGTACTCACCTAATTGTGCAGGCGATGAGTCACAATAACGTGGTTAAAGTAAGTTGACCAGACCACACACTAGAAGGTGAAGGGACGACGACGTTTCGGTCCGTCCTGGACCATTCTCAAGTCTTGAGAATGACTTTAGAATGGTCTAGGACGGACCGAAACGTCGTCGTCCCTTCACCTTCTAGTGTGTGTCTGATCAACTCACCTAATTGTGCTTGCGGGGGTTGAGCTTTGGCTCTTTGGTCCCGCCTCTCAACTGGTGATCAACTGTTAGTTGTGTGTTAAGTGTGTTAAGGCAAGTGTCTGAGAGTCAGCAGAACGTTGGGTCAAGGCACCACATTGCTCCAAATGATTATCTCATCGATATATCACACCATTGTGCTTTCTTTGCCTTGTGTCAGCAATACGAACAGAAGAGACAATGCCCTTGAAAATATTCAGTGTAGAATGACAATAGAATATTGAATATTGCCCTGAAATTGAAATTGAAATAAGTTTATTGAGGTAAAATACACACAAAGGGATGAGGTAGCTCAAGCTATTCTCACCCCGTTCAGTACATCGTGTTAATACATACATAGACACATCACAAGCAATAAACATATTACCGAACATTCTGAGAGATAAACATATACCTTTCCTAATAGTGCCCTTGAATAGAGTAATTCATTTTATGAAGATGTAGAGATTGAAATGTACTCAAGCTTTGTCAAATCTCTGGTCGACCTTAACGACGCATTCGTCATTTTTACTCTATAATCAAAAACGATGTTTACTCAAATTAAATTAATACAACATGTATTATAGTTTTGTGTATAGTCAGGCCTAGAAGATGTTAGATGTTTTGGTTCTAAAGTCAATTAGTTGTAATTAATGCACGAGGATGAAGCAATTAGAGACAAGTAGAGACATTTAGTTCGAACATAGAAAGTTAGCGAAGCGCTGTTCAAGAAAATTTATTGTGTAATCTGCAATCCGTCCTCGACTCAAGTCCATTACATCCAGCGGTCGACCCCACAGACACATTCATAAATTTGTACATGCTCCTCAGTCAAAACGGGAATTTTCTCAAATATACTGTAAATTAATATTATAATATATTAGCATATTGGGCATATATAGGCATAGGTTAAGTTAGGTGTTTAGGTTCTGTTGGCGATTATTTGTATTTGTAGTACGTCAACCCGTCCTCGACTCAAGTCCATTACATTCAGCGGTCGACCCCACAGACGCATTCATAAATTTTTATTTGCTGTTCATTCAAAACGGGAATTTTCTCAAGTATAAATTAATATTATAATATATTGGCATATTGTGTATATATAGGCATAGGATAGGTTAGGTGTTTAGGTTCTGTTGGCGATTATTTGTATTTGTAGTACGTGGGTGAAGCATTTATAGCGTTGTGATTCGAACAAAATTCGTCGGTGAAGCACTTGTTCCGGATATGTTCGAACGTGTTCGAACGTCAGCAGTTGTGATGTCGTGTGTAAACCGTTTTGTTCATTCGTCGGTGAAGCACTAAGTGTTCGAACAGGGGGTTTGGCGGGTGCATGGAATAACTTTTGGATCTTTGTTTGGAGGACGGGCTGGTAATCTGTTTATAAAGAAAAAATGCTTTATACACGACTTACAACTCAACAACATCCTCAAACCAAGTCGAATCCATCCAGCGGTCGACCCCAAAGCCGCATTCATCAACTTTAACATTCTGTTCATTCAAACCATAACTTTTCTCGCATATAAATTAATATTATTATATATTAGCATATTTAGGCACTGGTTAGATTAGGTGTTTAAGTTCTGTTGGCGATTATTTGTATTTGTAGTACGTGGGTGAAGCGTTTGCAGCGTTGTGGTTCGAACAAAACTCGTCAGCGAAGCAATTGTTCCGGAAGTATATGAACCATAGGCCATCGGCCATAGGCCTTTTGCGCTGTTCCCCTCCTCCTGTTTTCTTCCTCCTAATTGCACGTCGCATTTTGACGTATCCTTTACCAAAGGTGTAAAAAAATACCTTTGGCATACTTTATCAAACTGTCGTACTAGACCATGCTTAACCTATCAACGGTATGGGTTTAGTAATAATTGTAATTACGAAGCAATAAGATGCTTATCTTAACATACTAAGACGGTTAGGTGAGGTCGGTGTTTTCTATGAAGCTTTTCAAGGTAAACTAAAATATTCACAATCAATTAGTATGTCACATATGCACTTATTAAATAAGGCAATATTGACTAAAAGCAAGTGCGAGAACGGGTTGTAGTAGGTTAGGATAAGGGCACTTTCGTACGGCAGTTTCTTGACGTTCGGATTGCTCGTAAAAACAGGTTGGGTTTCGCTTATTTTGTATAATGGGTTTCTTTCCTCAGAGGCAAAGTATGTTAAAGAATTATCTCGATTTGTTTTTTATAACAGAACATTCCTAATTCTCAAACATTTATTCTGATCCTCCGCTCATTACACAACAAATTTTATGGATGTGAATGGTTTATGTCTTCACTTTCATCATTTAATATTGAAAACTAAACTCTAAAATTCATCTCAGATATATTTTATACAACACACACTTGCATCTATGTTTACCTTGGTGGAAAGCCTGATGAAACTGTACCTGATGTGTTTATATAATAATATTTTCCCTTATATTCTGATGTTTTTGGAATTTAAGTATCGAGATGAAATGATGACGAGCGTTGTTCTATGTAAAGATGCACCAAAAACAATAATTATGTAATTACACAATACAAAGTAGCCTAACGGGGTGAGAATAGCATGAGCTACCTCATCCCTTTGTGTGTATTTTACCTCCATAAACTTATTTCAATTTCAATTTCAAGTAGCCTACCTCTCGATAAACGTCGCTCCTTTCTTACAGCCAAGGTAGCCAGTATTTTCTTTTTGCAGTCATTTTGTTGTTTAGAGTAAGAGGGAAGAGTTGTTCCTTAGAAGAGCTGGGTCAGAGCTCTGGGTCACACCACAAATATTTCACGTCTTCTCCACAAGCAAGGACACCTCGGCTAGCCTCGTGAATAAGTCAAACACACTGCTAGGGGGTCTGCCTGGTTCAGGTGACGAGTGGACACTGAGCATTCCAGTTCATCTGCTTCAACCCCGAGAGGGTAAATATTCACTGACTCGACAATGCACAAAGAGAGATGAAAAGCAGGCAACGGATACAGAGGTCATCCATTGGGAACATTGACTGTTGCTGCTGCTGTTAAATAATATACCAGAGAGAATATGTTGTATAGACAACAAGAGCATCAGGTTCTTTTTCTGAATCTCTCAGACCTCTAATTCTGCCACAGAAAATATAAATGGTTTAATAATGCATATGAAAAACTCGTACATTAAAACTAAGAGTTTTGTGAGGAATACATTACCACATTTGACTGCCATAACTACTGCTAATATTTGTATGACAATTCTGTAACGGATACAGCGACCAGCAGCGTCACATCACCATCCCACAGGGCCCGGCCAGAGAGAGAGAGAGAGAGAGAGAGAGAGAGAGAGAGAGAGAGAGAGAGAGAGAGAGAGAGAGAGAGAGAGAGAGAGAGAGAGAGAGAGAGAGAGAGAGAGAGAGAGAGAGAGAGAGAGAGAGAGAGAGAGAGAGAGAGAGAGAGAGAGAGAGAGAGAGAGAGAGAGAGAGAGAGAGAGAGAGAGAGAGAGGAGGGAAGAGGGAGAAATGAAGGACTTAGACTTGAAGATGGGAGGACAGCTATTGTACATTGACAGCTATATTATTGTATCTAATGGACAACCTCAGTGGCCACCAACTGCACGCAAGATCCGTGTTCTTGTCTAGCTGTCTCTCTCTCTCTCTCTCTCTCTCTCTCTCTCTCTCTCTCTCTCTCTCTCTCTCTCTCTCTCTCTCTCTCCTCTCTCTCTCTCTCACACACACACACACGCTATAAATTATATGAAAAGCATTAAAGAACTCTGTAAAAAAAGAAGAGATTTAGGTGTGGTTGGTGATAGCAGACTGTCAGCAGAGGACCACATGAAGGACATTATGCGAGGAACATAGGCTACGCTTTCCTACATGAGAGCTGCTTTTATATACATGGATGGTGAAATATTAACGAGATTGTTCACGACTTTTGAGGGACCGAAATTGGAATATGCAGCAGTTGTATCTCAAGAGGCTCATCAGTAAACTGGAAAAGGTGCAAAGAAAAAGCACCTAAATGGCTTCCGTAATTAAAAACAAGAGGTACTGGAGAGGCTAAATTATAACCAAAGCTAGAAGCGATATGATTACTACGTACAAAATAGTAACAGAACTCGACAAAATTGCCAAGAGGAATTCTTGAAACCTACAACTTGAAGAACAATAGGTCATTTAAGTTAAGGAAACATAAGTGTCAATAAAGATTAGAAAGTTCTCCTTTACAAAGAGTGGTAGACGGTTGGAACAAGTCAGAGGGTGGTGGTAATTACACACTGTAAGGAGCTATATTCAAGATATCATCTTATTTAATTGTTTATTTCATTGTTTTGTTCTAATAATCAATCTCTGACAAGCCTACTAAAATGATCTACTTTAGCTAGCCCACTAAAATGATCTATACAATCAAAAAGAAAAAAACGTAAGCACTTACAAATGTAAATATTAAATATGTTTACGAGGTAATAAGCAAGAAGTTTTGTAAGTTCAAGAGAATGGTCACTATAGTATTTGCTGTTGCAATACCATGGCTATCATCCTCAGATTTGTGACGTCATATCCTCAGTCCGTGTATAGCTCTGTCCTGCCTCGCGTTCACCATTTATACAAGTTATAACACTGGAAGTTGCTGACAGATGTGTTGACACATGTGCTGACATGTGCTGACTGTGCACACCTTTCCAGGTAACTGTGTCGTGCTCCACTTTCAACGAACACCAAGTTTCCACCGGTGATCTTAATCACTATTACTTCATTCCTATTATTATTAAAAACACAATGGTTATATACTTTACAAGTGCATAATGATCAGTGCAGTAAGCGAATTCTGACATGTAAAGTAACAGTACCTGTTACAGGGGCCTGACAGCTGAGTGGACAGCGCTCGGGATTTGTAGTCCTGAGGTTCCGGGTTCGATCCCCGACGGAGGCGGAAACAAATGGGCAGAGTTTCTTTCACTTAGCAGTAAATAGGTACTTGGGAGTTAGACAGCTGCTACGGGCTGCTTCCTGGGGGGGGGGGTGACAAAAAGGAGGCCTGGTCGACGACCGGGCCGCGGGGACGCAAAGCCCCGAAATCATCTCAAGATATCTTGAAGTTAACATTATATTATTTTCTGTGGCCCATTGAAAAACCTGATTTACACCAGATTGGTGGTTTGCTGAGCCTTTATCACTACATAATTATAAACGCAAGGCTCCACAGCTGAGACTTCCTCAGTGAAGGCCACTAACACATCCACTTCCCACTTAATATGTTCATAATATAAACTAGTCGGATATTGAATATGTTATGGCCAGCAGGAGTTAGTGAGCGGCCTGTTCCTAGCCTCTCTTGCCTCCTACACCACTATGTAATGACCTTCCCAGAGCTTAGCACCACCACCTACAGCCATCCCATCCACTCCCACTAACCTCTCACCCACCTACATCCACCCTCCCACTCCCACTCTCACCCACCTACATCCATCCATCCACTACCACTATATTATAAAGCTTCAGTATAACTATATAATTTGCATACCATCATAGGTCTGATTAATTATTTTTTTTATTTTTAAATATGCAGCAGGAATAGACATGTTTCACCTTGAATATAGAAGCACCGAGTTTTCTGTAGCGACCAAGCACTGAACTCTTAACATACAAACGACGCCTCGCTCCTGCGTACTGGCATGCATGTCCAAACGCCCACTTCGAGGACACGTGATGAGACAAAGTATTACCAGCGACGAGACCTTCAGACATTGATCACGTGGACACGGAGAAGCAAATCTGTGCTGTACAATTGTTGAAGTGAAGACTCTCAACACTTACACTCCCCAGAGCTGCCAGTCTTGCCTACACTCCCCAGAGCTGCCAGTCTTGCCTACACTCCCCAGAGCTGCCAGTCTTGCCTACACTCCCCAGAGCTGCCAGTCTTGCCTACACTCCCCAGAGCTGCCAGTCTTGCCTACACTCCCCAGAGCTACCAGAGTCCTGCCTACACTCCCCAGAACTGCCAGAGTCCTGCCTACACTCCCCAGAGCTGCCAGAGTCCTGCCTACACTCCCCAGAACTGCCAGAGTCCTGCCTACACTCCCCAGAGCTGCCAGAGTCCTGCCTACACTCCCCAGAGCTGCCAGAGTCCTGCCTACACTCCCCAGAGCTGCCAGAGTCCTGCCTACACTCCCCAGAACTGCCAGAGTCCTGCCTACACTCCCCAGAACTGCCAGAGTCCTGCCTACACTCCCCAGAGCTGCCAGAGTCCTGCCTACACTCCCCAGAGCTGCCAGAGTCCTGCCTACACTCCCCAGAGCTGCCAGAGTCCTGCCTACACTCCCCAGAACTGCCAGAGTCCTGCCTACACTCCCCAGAACTGCCAGAGTCCTGCCTACACTCCCCAGAACTGCCAGAGTCCTGCCTACACTCCCCAGAGCTGCCAGAGTCCTGCCTACACTCCCCAGAGCTGCCAGAGTCCTGCCTACACTCCCCAGAGCTGCCAGAGTCCTGCCTACACTCCCCAGAGCTGCCAGTCTTGCCTACACTCCCCAGAGCTGCCAGAGTCCTGCCTACACTCCCCAGAACTGCCAGAGTCCTGCCTACACTCCCCAGAACTGCCAGAGTCCTGCCTACACTCCCCAGAACTGCCAGAGTCCTGCCTACACTCCCCAGAGCTGCCAGAGTCCTGCCTACACTCCCCAGAGCTGCCAGAGTCCTGCCTACACTCCCCAGAGCTGCCAGAGTCCTGCCTACACTCCCCAGAACTGCCAGAGTCCTGCCTACACTCCCCAGAGCTGCCAGAGTCCTGCCTACACTCCCCAGAGCTGCCAGAGTCCTGCCTACACTCCCCAGAGCTGCCAGAGTCCTGCCTACAATCCCCAGAGCTGCCAGAGTCCTGCCTACACTCCCCAGAGTTGCCAGAGTCCTGCCTACACTCAACGTTTAAATAAGAAATAAGATCATATCATTTGCTTCATAAGACAAGCTAAAAAAATACATAAATGCAAGAGAAGCTTGCGGAGCGGCGGCGCCCGTGAGGGTTGGAAACCTTAACATATACATACACAGTAATATTTATCATTTGAAACTCGAGGACTGTACGATGAATATATATTAACCAACGCATGGCTCTGCTTACCCCCGTTAATGTGTAGCAAGCATTCCCACAAGCAGCGTTGTTGGCTCGTTTGGTTTTGCTCCTTACAACGTCCAAAACAGTTACAGCCATTATTTATCTAAATTTACCTGAGGGCACCATCTCTAGTGGCCTCGATGGGGGACAGAAAGCCGGCGACTTGTTAATGCCCCCAATGTTCCGAGAATTTTTTGTCAAATATAATTTTGAATTAGAGTACTGTTGTCATTTGCGGCTTAGACGGGTAGGAAAGGTGACTATCAGGGGTGAAAGCGCCAAGCCATTCGGACTATATAACACTGGGAAGGGGTCAGGATAAGGATTTGGGATGGTGCCCAACCACTTGGACGGTCCGAGATTGAACTCGGACCTGTATGAAGCGAGACTGTCGCTCTACCGTCCAGCCTAATGGTCACCGGATAGGTATTTATATAAGTATATAAATTTATGGGTGAAAACAAATATTGTTTTATATTGTGGCTTGTTGAGCATGAAGCTGTTGCCCCTTGTGTTACATTTCATCTTTTATACCTGGTTGATACCTGGTTGATACCTGGTTGATACCTGGTTGATACCTGGTTGATGGGGTTCTGGGAGTTCTTCTACTCCCCAAGCCCGGCCCGAGGCCAGGCTCGACTTGTGAGAGTTTGGTCCACCAGGCTGTTGCTTGGAGCGGCCCGCAGGCCCACATATACGTGGTTGATGGGGTTCTGGGAGTTCTTCTACTCCCAAACCCGGCCCGAGGCCAGGCTTGACTTGTGAGAGTTTGGTCCACCAGGCTGTTGCTTGGAGCGGCCCGCAGGCCCACATACCCACCACAGCCCGGTTGGTCCGGCACTCCTTGGAGGAATAAATCTAGTTTCCTCTTGAAAATAAGAGTAGTCTGGATGAATATCTAGCAATTTGTTCAGAAATTTATAAGTGTGGATGAGGGTGAGCTTCGCCATGTTTGTGGTGTTAGTCCTGTGGCCCTCTACTGGTCCTGCAGTGAGGGGCTTGGCGCTCATTGATGAACTTCCAAAACACATGTGTCATTTTGACGGCGAGGTCTATTCTTGGACGACATTCAATGACTTCTAGGTCATTTTCTTGATCAATCTGGTATATATATATGGTCGTCTTTAGATGATATTTGCGATGTATATTATTGTTATTCCCTACATGCAAGGCCTTGCACCTTTCAATACTGAAAAGCATTTGCCAAGCGTTTGAGCGTTTAGTGTAAGGCAATTTGAAGCCCTATGTAAGGCCTCAATATTATTTTTGCTTCCCACTTTACCATAGATTTTTGTGTCCTGCAAATCTGGTGATGTGGTTTGTGATCTCACCTGTATATGCCGTTTTTACGGTCAGTTTGGGCCAGTTACCGTTTTTTTTCTGTTAACGTGTCTTATAACTTCTTCTTCTTCATCCTACCCAAAGTCGATGGCAAGTTTTCAAGAACTGGCTGTGGCAAGTAGTAGTGCAAAGAATAAAGGGGGGGGGGGATAAACAGTACGCGTTTAGACCATCACCAATATATTATCACCTTCACCAATATATATTATATATCCGAGTATAACTACACATATTTATACTGTGTCGCTTTCACCCAGGACACTCAATAGATCTGCAGTGTTCGTCAAGTCCTGGCAAGTCCACTACGTCCCGGTACACGTCGTCCACACTATATGGCAATCACCGGCGAGTTCACTTCAACATGAGCCAGTCCGCACATCGCATAGTCACGATGTGCCAATAACCCACATCCGCTCTCCAGAAACACTCACTGGCAGAGGGTTTCAGCAACTCGCTGACAGGGGTCTCAAATAATCTCATACAGGGGTAGCTAACACCCTGGCAGAAGTCTCTAGCAACACACTAGCAGCACTTCTTAACAGACACACTGCTGTCGGCCCGTAAATCTTCTTGGCCAAATCCCGGATCCATACAACACTGTATAAATCCAGCAGTTAACTCACTGCTACTACCGACGGCGGCCACTTTGTCCTCTCACAGGACCAAGTCAAGAGTTCTGGACTGCCCAAGGTGAACTGCCCTCAGCGCAATCGCCGCCTCACGTCACTTCTGTGAACATAAATGTTATTAGCTAGACAGACAGTATACTGGGTGGCCTTAGAATAACACCCTTCCACTGGGGAACTGAAATTATAATTGCTTGCACAACAGAGATGGCATTGATATCATTATGCCCCCCCCCAGCCAGAAGTCATCATCGTCGACCTCACCTTCTGAGGTATGAAACAGGAGCCTTTCACCAATGCCACTCCACCGCCAACAGATGGAATTGTCTGCGTATCACCTAATACTTGGGAGTTGGAGTACAGGTCCATAGATGGCGCCGAAATCGCCACTTCACACTCCAGCAACGGTGTTGATACCATAACGACCGTTGATGTGTATTACAAATAGGGTTGGCTAATGGAGAAACGACGACGTTTCGGTCCGTTCTGGACCATTATCAAGTCGTGTGTGACTTGATTAATGGTCCAGAATGAACCGAAACGTTGTCGTTTCTCCTTCTTCTGAAGTGTGGTTTGATCATCAAGCTTTGGAGAAGTTCATGTGTACATCAACTGGAAGTCTTTTGTCAGTAAGCTGATTAAAATTTCCAAACATGTGACAAGATTAATTTTGTAAGATTTTTTATTTACAAAATCATGTTGTGTCGCGTTTATAAAATTGTTCATCTAACAGGGGAATAGTTTCCTCCATTAGGATTCTCTGTGAACTTGCAGATATGTAAAGGTTAGACTGTTTGGTTTATTTATCTACTGAAAACTTTTAGCGAGTTTCTTGAAGACGATATTTTCCTGTTTCCTGAAGGGGCGATATTTTCCTGTTTCCAATCTAGGTGGACACTTCATTCGTCCAGACATTTTCTGAAGAGCAGTTTTAGTGGATGTTCCTGATTATTTCGCTTAATCTATTCTCATCTGCTTTAAACATTTGTGTGGATGTTGTCTAATCTTTCTATTGTGAATTCTGATTGGTTGGTCTCAACTTTGAAGTGTCTTGGTTTAACTCTTTATATATGTGCAAAGGTACTTGGGATCTTTCATTTGGAGCAAATTTTCTTTCTGTGTCTTTTGGTTTGTCAGATTTCCTGGGTAACTGCACTTAAAATACCCTTTTGTGTATCTCATAGACTCCTCGAAGGTAGTCAAAGTCATTATCCTCAACTTTTATATGGGTTTCTATAATTGTATTCCAGTTATAGACTTTCGGTGCCGTGGAGAGGCGGCATCTGCTGCTTGGGTAACAGCTTCTCCATATCAACCTACCCTGGCATTGTGCCCTGGAGAGTGGCCCAGACCGACAACCAGAGCGCAACACCATATTCTCCTGAGACTGATGGATGCCTACTATTCCATCTTTGGATGTGGTGGTCACATGAAGGGGTGAGCTTCTTCCCTACCTGGATTTGATCGATCATACCTTCTTCTGATGTTGGCACAGGATTTAGAATGCTGTTCCCGTGGGTGGGTTCTGTCACATGCTGTGTGAGAAAGGAGTCATGTACCAGGTTCAGAAACTGATCTTCCAATTGTGATATTGGAATCACCCAATTTATTGTCTCACGGTTAAAATCCCTCATTATAAGAGCTTGGGGTTCAGCTGTTGACCAGACCACACACTAGAAGGTGAAGAGACGACAACGTTTCGGTCCGTCCTGAACCATTCTCAAGTCGATCGACTTGAGAATGGTCCAGGACGGACCAAAACGTCGTCGTCCTTCACCTTCTAGTGTGTGGTCTGGTCAACATAATATAGCCACGTTATTGTGACTCATCGCCTGCTTGGGGTTCAGCTGCTGTGTCTGTCCTATAACAGACACAGCAGCAAATTGACTCCCACTGTCACTTTGCTATCATCTTGAGCTAGTATATGACACCATAAAGATGATGAAGATCCCCATGTTGTTTAATTCCTCATTGCTGGTCGAAGTTAGATCCTCTTATATGTATCACATCACCACCTGCTCTTGTTCTGTTCTCTCTGAAAGGTAGAGAAAGGTTGTTCTGTTCTCTCTGAAAGGTAGAGAAAGGTTGTTCTGTTCTCTCTGAAAGGTAGAGAAAGGTTGTTCTGTTCTCTCTGAAAGGTAGAGAAAGGTTGTTCTGTTCTCTCTGAAAGGTAGAGAAAGGTTGTTCTGTTCTCTCTGAAAAACGCTTCCATCTTCCACCTCTGCAAGTTGGAATTCCCTTTCAATTATATATTCACATGTCCACGTTGTGCTCATACCAATGACGTCGGGGTTCTTAACCTTGGCACGTGCACATAATTTGTTAGTGTCAGAGTAGTTAACAGGTGGAATGCATTAGGCAGTGATGTGGTGGAGGCTGACTCCATACACAGTTTCAAGTGTAGATATGATAGAGCCCAGTAGGCTCAGAACCTGTACACCAATTGATTAACAGTTGAGAGGCGGGACCAAAGAGCCGAAGCTCAACCCCCGCAAGCACAACTAGGTGACTAAAATGTTGCAAAATCCTCACTCTGCTGCTAGAGGCTGAGAGCGTGCTCTTGCATTCTACACACTATTACCCCGCACGCTGACCCTTTGGTTTGGTGCCGGTTTGTCGTCCGAGATACGAGACAAAGTCACTGGGGCTCCCAGATGATTTTATCATCGATATATACCACGATAGTGTGATTTTATGTGTGAATGGTGAGAGATATATAGGGTTAGTTGTGTCTCTCCGAGTAAGGGATGTCGTTTTCTTTGTTATCACCTGCACTCTTTTTTTTATTATTTGTACCTTTGTATTTATGGTTCGAGGTACGATTTTTAGC